TAATTTAATCCAGCAGCATCTTTAAGATAACGAACAGCCTAAGTCTGAGAAACGTATTGGCGGGAAAAATATTTGTAAAGCATAGTGAATGTTAGGAAAATGGCATAAAAAAAAGATAAAAGATCAGGAATTGATGAAATCTAAAAGAAAGAAAAAAACATTGAAACGGATTAAACATCCTCAATGTAGATGGGAATTATTCAAAATCGCATTTACAGACACCGGGAAAAATTTTTTTTTTAAAAATAACTAAATTTGGAAACGAGTTCTTTTTCTCAAAGCACTTAATGCTAAATAAAGAATTCAACAAAATCCTCTTCTGCGACATTTTATTTGAAATTTTAAATCAAGTGTAATATTTCTGGGGTTATTTTCAGCGAAAGCTTAAGCCCAAAACTTAGTAAAGAGATCTTAGTACAAAGTTGTGGAATTCAATTGAAATCAATATTGTCACATTTTACAAGAAAAAAAAAATCACTATTTGGAAATCGCTGAAAAGAAATCTCGCGAGACATTTCTAAGTCTCGTGATTTCTTTTTCTGGACGTGAAGCGGATAGAGATCGAAGACGCTTTCTCGGGGCTAAGAAAAACATTTAAAGCAATAAGCATTTATAACGTTGATATGACACTATGCAAAAACATCAGCGGCCTAAATTATGAGCTAAATGCCTTTATTTCTTTCGAGCATATATAGTTTTTGTTTGTATTTTAACTGGTCTGTTTCTGTTGTCTAACTGTCTTCATTGAAGATTTTTAGTTTATATCATAGAAAATGACACCTAACTCGAGTCATGTTCTGAAATAGCCTCGACAGATCTAGACCTTCATATGGATGTGATGCATGGCGTCCAACTTATTCAAAAATATCTCAACTACTTCTCAGATCAACATTTGGAAGTTGTTTCAAGGCGAAGTAGAATTGTAGATATTAAAGTAGGCTATTCTTCGCCAGATCTCACAGACTGGCGCTAAAGAATCACAAACCAAGACCTTTACCAAATACCAGAAACCAAATCACTTGTGGAGTTTAAAAATGGATAGCACGTGTAACTAGAAGTGAAAATAATGATCAAGATGTTGAGTTTCAACACTGCTCTGAATAAAAAAAAAAACGGTTAAGAAGGAATCTTGATTAGTACTGGAAAGAGCGATAAAAGCGAGTAGGCTTGAGAAACCTACTTCCATGACAAAATGTTTTAAGTTTATAAATTTCAACCGATAAGAAAGCTAACTGTTTGGTCAATTATTACCGAAAGTTTCCTTAGAACAGAAGAGGTTATTCTTACCATGGCCATTTGTCGCCATTTGTGATCTGCCTCGTTTGAAAGATTTTTGCTATTTCAGGTTTCTTTAGGAAACGCCTGTGTTAGCATGAATCAAACGGAGAGAAATCACCAATTAAACTTTATTCTTAATGCGAATTAATGGAGGAATATTGTTTGCCCCCTTCTCTTGTTTCGTTGGCGCAAGTGAGTTATTATAAATAATATATATTCAAATCCTAATATTTAACGAAGAAAGGATTTAAAATTGTACTTGCTAAAAGTAAGAACACAGACCAAAAGATTTCCTCGAATATTGCACCAACGCAAAAGTCTAGAAACTGACATTTTCGCAGATCCATTGACCAAGAGTCAAGAAATTATTGCTGAAAATTGGAATTTAGTTGACATATTTTAAGAAGATCAAGAAATTTTATAGAAAATTAAAATTTTATACATGTGTTGGCTAAAAGCTAAGAGCCAATAAAGTTTGGAAGATCATAATTTGGAAGAAATATTTTGTATAAGTACTGTCTAAAAGCCAAGTTAAATTCCTTAACATTTTTCTGTACGATACTTACTCTGCTATGCCAAAGATCAAACTGTATTATCGGCTTAATCCTCAGTGATACAGGACAGTGTTGAGATATTTTTCAAACCGAGAATCTGTACTATGATTTTTTTTGTATGTCAAAGCGTTAATACTCGCTATCAATGATCAAACTGTAATATCTATTTCGATCTTTTGGCAGTTCTAAGGTGGAATCATTTAAGCTTTCTGCTCGAGAGACGTAAATAATTCATGAGTAGAAATGAATTAGAAAACTTGGAAGAAGGGTCGAAGAGAAAAAAAGGATGTGAACCAGGAATGATTTGGGATTAAAAGAAAAATCGGAAGAAAAACGTGAAAGGAAAATATATAGATAATAGCGATGTATCGTGAAGAGAAAATGATGTAAAGGAGGAGAAAAAAAACAGTCTTGACGGCTAGATATTAAGAGAAAATTACGAAAAGAGTGAAAGGCATATAAAGATGTAAAGGTATAAAAACTTGCGATTTATTAAACTTTTTATGGAAAGATAGCAGAAATGAAAGATAAAAGAGAGACCGTAGCAGAAAATATTGCTCTTTGTATCTTTGGTATATGGAAATAATTCGGGTTTATACAACATTTAAATACTACATGGGTGGGTAACGAAGACTGAAATGGAAAAAGAAGAGAATGGGGAGATATAGGTAAAGTATGAGAGAGAAGGGCAAAGGCATGAGGTCATAGACGATTTTAAATTTTAGTTCCGATAGAATTTATTCAGATGATATTTTTCTATTAATATTTTGCGAATTTCAGTCTGTATCAGATCGGAAATATTGGGACGTGGGTTGTTTTTTTTTTTAAAAAAGTAACAACAGATAAAATTATCAAATACACGTTCTCTCAAGTTGATTTAACCTACGAAACACGCATAGAAAGAATAGCGAAAAAAAAAGAGAAATACAAAAACCTATAACAGTACAAAATATAAAATCTGGACCTATATATTGTTCAGTAGCATGGGAGATGTTTCTCTGGTGCACTGAGGAGAGGTTGTAGGGATTCCCTAATGTCTGGGGCTTGATCTAACATTTATTTCCGTTATACTTATTTAGTTTTCCTTAAAGGGAGGGTAATTTTGTATGTCTGCGAAAGCACACGGTAATATACACCGCTGCACTACATTGTATATGTGTCCCCTAACCCAAAATTAGAGGAAACACATTGCATATGTGGTCCCTAACCCAAATTTTGACGAAACACATTGTATATGTGTCCCCTTAGCCAAAGTTTGAGGAAATACATTGTATATGTGTTCCCTAAGCCAAAGTTTGAGGAAACACATTGTATATGTGTCCCCTAAGCCAAAGTTTGAGGAAACACATTGTATATGTATCCCCTAAGCCAAAGTTTGAGGAAACACATTGTATATGTGTCTCCTAAGCCAAAGTTTGAGGAAACACATTGTATATGTGTCCCCTAAGCCAAAGTTTGAGGAAACACATTGTATATGTGTCTCCTAAGCCAAAGTTTGACGAAACACATTGTATATGTGTCCCCTAACCCAAAATTAGAGGAAACACATTGCATATGTGGTCCCTAACCCAAATTTTGACGAAACACATTGTATATGTGTCCCCTTAGCCAAAGTTTGAGGAAATACATTGTATATGTGTCCCCTAAGCCAAAGTTTGAGGAAGCACATTGCATATGTGTTCCCTAAGCCAAAGTTTGAGGAAATACATTGTATATGTGTCCCCTAAGCCAAAGTTTGAGGAAACACATTGTATATGTGACCCCTAAGCCAAAGTTTGAGGAAACACATTGTATATGCATCCCCTAAGCCAAAGTTTGAGGAAACACATTGTATATGTGTCTCCTAAGCCAAAGTTTGAGGAAACACATTGTATATGTATCCCCTAAGCCAAAGTTTGAGGAAACACATTGCATATGTGTCCTCTAACCCAAAGTTACAGGAAACACATGAGTCCCCTAACACAAAATTTGAGGAAACACATTTACACCATCCATAGCACAGTGGTGCTTCTAGCTCAAGATAGACTGACGGAGCACAATTTTCTTCAGGCTGGTTTTCAAATCAGAGTTTTTCTTCTCTTTTTAAGGAAAGAGGTTTCAGTCTACCTTGTTATTTAACCTACAGATGTTCAACGGTATTAGCGTGCAGTGGAAGAAATAGAACTGAGCTGGAACGGAACGGGTTACGACGAAATCAATTTCAGCGTCGATAGCCAAGAAATCGTCTGCACCTTCCGTTTGATATCCGCATTACATTTAGCTAAAGCTTGAAAAATTAAATCTTACGGTAGAAAACATCGGTAAATGCAATGTTTTTAACATCAACCTTTGTGTTTCGCCTTTTACGAATCGGTGCAAAGTCCAAAACGGATAAACATGCAAACAAACAAACGAACAACGCTGTCTTGGAGGGAAGACCCATCATCAGATTGGCGATTTCTGAATTTGCTCCTGCGAAAAGGGATTATCATTATTATTGTTATTATTACTAGTATTTTCTCGTGAATTTGAATCGATGTTCTCAGAAAGAACACAACGGTATACACAAATTTCGAGTATTGTGCCAACACTAAAATTGTAGAGACTCAAAATATGGCAGACGCATTGACCAAAATGCAAGGAATTATTCTGAAATTTCGGAATTTAGCTGATAAAAAAAGTCAAGAAAATGTATAAAAAAAAATATGTATATATAGATGTGATGGCTAAAAGCTAAGAACCAATAATTTTGAAGAAATATTGGCTAAGAACTAAAAAAATCTGGAAATGCTAACTTTGTACGTGCGTTGTCCAAGAACAAAGCGATTTTTTGTATGGTTTAAGTAGATACACGGGCCAAGGGTCAAGAAAATGCCTAGAAAATCTGAAATTGGCGAATGCATTGTCCAAAGGACAAAAAATATTCCGAAAATCTAAATTTGGTAGTCGCATTGACCAAGAGTTAAGAAAATGTCTCTGGAAATAAAAAGAAATGGGTGAAATACTGGCGCAAAGAAAGCAGAAGCAAGGAAAGTCAAGGTTCGAAGTCGAATAGAGAGAATCTGTCCAACTATCGAAACAAGAATAGGCGTAACCAATTTCTTCAAACCGACCGACGGAATCGAAAGATTGACGCAAAGCGTAGAACAAAGAGAAAATGGGTGCCAAAGAAGAAAAATGGCGGAGATG